GTGAGTGTGAGAGTGAGTGTGAGTGAGAGTGCGTGTGAGAGTGAGCGAGTGTGAGAGTGAGCGAGTGTGAGAGTGAGCGAGTGTGAGAGTGAGCGAGTGTGAGAGTGAGCGAGTGTGAGAGTGAGCGAGTGTGAGAGTGAGCGTGAGAGCGAGCGTGAGAGCGAGCGTGAGAGCGGAGCGTGAGAGCGAGCGTGAGAGCGAGCGTGAGAGCGAGTGTGAGAGTGAGAGTAAGTGAGAGTGTGAGAGTGAGTGAGTGTGAGAGTGAGTGTGAGAGTGAGTGAGTGTGAGAGTGAGTGTGAGAGTGAGTGAGAGTGAGTGTGAGAGTGAGTGAGTGTGAGAGTGAGTGAGTGTGAGAGTGAGTGAGTGTGAGAGTGAGTGAGTGTGAGAGTGAGTGAGTGTGAGAGTGAGTGTGAGAGTGAGTGAGAGAGTGTGAGAGTGAGTGAGTGTGAGAGTGAGTGTGAGAGAATGTGAGAGAGTGAGTGTGAGAGTGCATGAGTGTGTGTGTGTGTGTGTGTGTGTGTGTGTACTCACCTAATTGTACTCACCTAATTGTGGTTGCAGGGGTTCAAGACTCAGCTCCTGGCCCCGCCTCTTCACTGATCGCTACTAGGTCCTCTCTCTCTCTGTTTCCTGAGCTGTATCATACCTCTTCTTAAAACTATGTATGGTTCCTGCCTCCACTACTTTGCTTGCTAGGCTATTCCACTTCCTGACAACTCTATGACTGAAGAAATACTTCCTAACGTCCCTGTGACTCGTCTGAGTCTTCAGCTTCCAGTTGTGACCCCTTGTCCCTGTGTCCCCTCTCTGGAACATCCTATCTCTGTCCACCTTGTCTATTCCCCGCAGTATCTTGTAAGTCGTTATCATGTCTCCCTGACCCTTCTGTCCTCCAGTGTCATCAGTCCGATCTCCCTCAACCTTTCCTCGTACGACATTCCCCTGAGCTCTGGGACTAGCCTTGTTGCAAACCTTTGTACTTTCTCTAACTTCTTGACGTGCTTGACCAGGTGTGGGTTCCAGACTGGTGCTGCATACTCCAGTATGGGCCTAACGTACACAGTGTACAGTGTCTTGAACGATTCCTTATTAAGTATCGGAACACTATTCTCAGGTTTGCCAGGCGCCCGTATGCTGCAGCAGTTATTTGGTTGATGTGTGCCTCCGATGATGTGCTCGGTGTTATGGTCACCCCAAGGTCCTTTCTCCTGAGTGAGGTCTGTAGTCTTTGTCCCCTAGCCTATACTCTGTCTGCGGTCTTCTTTGCCCCTCCCCAATCTTCATGACTTTGCATTTGGCTGGATTGAATTCGAGAAGCAGTTACTGGACCACATGTCCAGCCTGTCCAGGTCTCTTTGCAGTCCTGCCTCATCCTCATTCCGATTTAATTCTTCTCATCAACTTCACATCATCTGCGAATAGGGACACTTCAGAGTCTATTCCTTCCATCATGTCGTTCACATATATCAAAAATAGCACTGGTCCCTAGAACTGACCCCTGTGGGACCCCGCCGTCACAGGCGCCCACTGTGATACCTCTTCACGTACCATGACTCGTTGCTGCCTCCCTGTCAGGTATTCCCTGATCCATTGCAGTGCCCTCCCTGTTACATGCGCCTGATCCTCCAGCTTCTGCACTAATCTCTTGTGGGGGAACTGTGTCAAAGGCCTTCCTGCAGTCTAGGAAAACGCAATCTACCCACCCTTCTCTCTCGTGTCTTACTTCTGTTACCTTGTCATAAAACTCCAGGAGGTTTGTGATACAAGATTTGCCTTCCATGAACCCATGCTGGTTTTCATTTATAATCTCGTTCCTTTCCAGGTGTTCGACCACTCTCCTCCTGATAATCTTCTCCATGACTTTGCACACAATACATGTCAGAGAGACAGGTCTGTAGTTTAGCGCCTGCCTCGTTTCTGTTTCCTTTCTTAAATATGGGGACTACATTAGCTGTCTTCCATTTCTCAGGTAGTTGCCCAGTTTCAAGGGATGTGTTGAAGATTGTGGTTAGAGGCACGCACAGCATCTCTGCTCCTTCTCTAAGGACCCATGGGGAGATGTTGTCCAGTCCCATCGCCTTTGAGGTGTCAAGGTCACTTAGGAGCTTCTTTCACCTCCTCCCTCAGTTGTTCGTATGTCATCCAACACTTGTTGGTATATTCCTCTTGATGTTCCCTTCTGTGCTGTCTTCCTACAGCCCTTCCTGTCTCTACTGTGAAAACTTCCTTAAATCTCCTGTTCAGCTCCTCACATACCTCCTGATCATTTCTTGTGAGTTCTCCACCTTCTGTCCTTAATCTGATCACCTGGTCTTTGACTGTTGTCTTCCTCCTGATGTGGCTATACAACAGTTTCGGGTCAGTCTTGATTCTCGATGCTATGTCATTTTCATACTGTCGCTGGCTCCCTCCTTACCTGTGCATACTCATTCCTGGCTCTGCGACTGATCTCCCCTATTTTCGTGTGTTCTCTGCCTTCTGTACTTTTTCCATTCTCTATTGCACTTTGTTTTTGCCTCCTTACACCGTCGGGTAAACCAGGGGCTCGTTCTGGTCTTCCCGTTGTTACTGTTGCCCTGGGAATAAACCTTTTCCACTGCCTCCTTGCATTTTGTTGTTACATATTCCATCATTTCATTTACTGGCTTTCCTGCCAGTTCTCTGTCCCACTGGACTCCCGCAGGAAGTTCTTCAACCCTATGTAGTCCCCTCTTTTATAGTCAGGCTTTCCCATTCTACTCCTGTTATTCTCTCCACTTGCAGCTCTACTATGTATTCAAAGCACAGAACCACGTGGTCGCTAGCTCCTAGGGGACTCTCATACTTGATGTCCTCAATGTCTGAGCTGCCCAGGGTGAACACAAGGTCCAATCTTGCTGGTTCATCCTCCCCTCTCACTCTGGTAGTGTCCTTAACATGTTGGTGCATGAGGTTTTCCAGCACCACGTCCAACATCTTGGCTCTCCGTGTGTGTGTGTGTGTGTGTGTGTGTGTGTGTGTGTGTGTGTGTGTGTGTGAGTGTGAGTGAGTTTTTGAAAGCCAGCCCTGAGAGAAGGCTTGAGGAGTAGAGAAACTCTCAAAACGAGTCACAGGTAAAGAGTGAAAACACTGATAGTATCTGTATTAGTTAACAGAAGAGAGGAGAGACAAGTATATGGAAGAAATTTAATATAGAATTTTTAACATGATAGAGGGAAGATTATTATAATCAGTGGGAAGTTCTAAATCCATAGAGGTCTTGTAGCACTGGGAGGAAAGGGAGGCAGTTAGGTTTGATCCAAAGGACGAGCCCTTCACCAGCATTAAAAAAAACCTTCCTTGAGGGAAGGAGAAACAAAAAGGCCATAATTGTAAACTAATGACAAAATGAAGCCAAAAGGACACCTTTATATATATATATATATATATATATATATATATATATATATTTGTTTTTTTCAAATATAGTGGTAGGCTACTGGAATGTTGTTAAAAAATAATAGGAGATAAATGCCACTACAACTAGAGTATTTAAGAAATGATATTTCAAATTAATCGTAGCGACAGGACACCACTAGCGTAACTATTTCTGTACAGTATTTATAAATAGGTAATTTTACACACTGTGATTAATTACTGAAGAAGGGACACAACAATCATGGCTACAAATAGGTAATTATACAGGCTCTCTCACACACACACACACACACACACACACACACACACACACACACACACACACACACACACACACACACACAACACACACACACACATGCACACACCATGCACACACATCAGCACATGCACACATGCACACACACACATGCACACACACATGCACACACACATGCACACACACATGCACCACACGCACTGCACACACGCACATGCACACACACGCACACGCACATGCACACACGCACATGCACACACATGCCCACATGCACACACCACATGCACACCAACACACACATGCACACACACACATGCACACACATGCCACAACACCACATGCACACACACACATGCACACACACACATGACAACCACACATCACACACACATGCACACACACACACACACATGCACAACACACACACATGCACACACACACACACATGCACACACACACACACATGCACAACACACACACATGACACACAACATGCCACACACATGCCACACACATGCACACCCATAACATGCACACATGCACACACTGCACACACACATGCACACACACACACAACCACACACACACACACACACACACCACACACACACACACACACTCACACTCCATTATATACATGTTTTATGGTACAGCACTCTACTTTTAATATACCTATGGCATTTTGCTTATTTTTCCATTAGTCAGTATGATAATTCATGTGCAATAATGTCCTCTCCTAACTAATATCTTGTACTGTTATCTTGTGAAAGTTGCCCTCTTTTGTCTTACTGTAATTAGTTTGTCTTTCTTGTTTTTTGTTTTTTCTTTACACCCATTGTCATGGGTGTAGAAAGTGTGTCTTGTTTATAAGTGTTCCAAGGCTGCCACCTTTACACTTGAGGACCCAAAGTAAAAACATTCATTTATTGATTTATTTTAAAACCTCTTTATATGATCTGATAGTTTGAGTCTCATAAAGTGAAATCTAAAAATTAATTGCCACCTCTGGGTTTTGTTTTGCAAATGCCTATCATTGGCATGCATTACCTCTCCATCCATCAACTTGTCTACCCAGTTTTGCTATTCACAACCTATTTATTCCATCTAAATTTAGAATCAATCTCAGTCTTAATATATCTTTGAGCACGCTAGACTTACTGACTTACCTAGTTTACTGCAGGAGCTTGTTGTCAAGGCTTCAAAATGTTACATTTCACAGTCATGATCTTGATTTGATATAATAGCCTGCCCTGCCCATCATACAAATATCTATGATGAGTGCAGGGTAAAGTTGGCAGCTGGTGTGGTGGTGCTGTGGTGACGTGTGTCTGGTGTGCGTTCACAGGGACGGGTGTCCTGTATTGCCGGGCTTTACCCTCTCTAAAGTGCTGCACCTCACGCCCCTGCTTCTTAACAACAAGGACAAACGTGGTCTGGCTCTAGATGGCCAACTGAAGCACGAGGACACCAACCTAGCGTCCTCATCAATGTAAGTAGTGCCTGCTTAGACACTAACCACTAATCACTAATAGTCATTAGGTGCACCATTGGTGAACTTCTCCAAAGAGTGGTGGCTGATGCAGCAGCAAATCACTGTATACCCAAAATCAACACTATCTCAATGTCTCATTATGTAAGTCAACTTTAGATTTCGTGTGTGACTAAATTAAACACACATCAAAGCATATGACTCGCTACACATAAGACATGTTGAGCTTGTGTTGGTAGCGTGGTGTAGTAAGGAAGTAGTGGTGGTGATGGTGGTGGTGGTCACAGAGGAGTGGTTGTGTTGTTGCAGGGAAGGCTGCCCTGTGGGGCCTGGTTTCTCCATCAGTAAGGTTTTCTCACTGACGCCACTTCTGAACAACAACCGGGACAAGTGGGGGCTGGCCCTTGATGGCAAGCTCAAAGATGAAGACACCAACCTAGCTTCATCTACTGTGTGAGTAACACGCACCTTATGCTGTGTCCTCACCCTTAAGTAGGTATGACAACTGGGTATTTTTATATGAACCTAAATGTACAGTAGACCCTCTTGCCCTACCACTAAATATGTGATTGTCAGATAAAGGATATTTATATTTTTATGTACAGGCAGCCTTTTTGTCACAAAACTTCTGTACTGATATAACCAACATCATCGATTATGTTGAGGACACTTAGTATTTTTAATTCATTTGTACTAGTCGTTTTACTACAGTAAACACTGCTAGTCATTACCATATATGCATAATTTTTGCAATTATAGGAATCTGATTATTATAATTCCACAGTATTTGTCAGGGATGCATTTTACAATTAGCTTACAGATGCTGGATTGGCTCATTGGTCAACCCAGTAATAAAATAAATATCGCATAAAATGCTATGGTAGGTTTTCCAGCCAATACAAATATGAAGGATCACCATGCAGTAACATCCTTGGATATGTGGGTAAAACAGGAGAGCAACAGCATGTTTAATGGATAATTTGAATGCAGAAGACAATGTCTACATGATTCCTCAAATAGACGAAACATTAAAGATGTGATTTATTAACTAACCTGAATTCTGGGTATGATGGCACTGGCTACTTCTGATGCACAATGTCTCAACACTCTCAAGCAAAGTGAGAAACCACATGGACAAAAATACGAAACACAGGTAAGAGAGATCTATACAGTAGACCCTTGGTCATTGGCCGTAATCGATTCCAGAAGGTCGGCCTAAAACCGAAATGGACAAAAACCAAAATAATATTTCCCATAAGAATTAATGTAAATACAATTAATCCATTCCAGACACCCAAAAATATTAACAAAAAATACGTTTCTTAAAAATTAACTATAGTTTTACATACACAAAACAATGAGAAAGAAATATAAAGCTCTAATTTTACTAATAAATGAACATTACATACCTTTATGGAAGACTCTTGTTGGCATGTGGAAGAAGGCGAGGAGGGGTTACTTCCTTTCTTTGTCTTTTACTGCCACTAGGACTAGCTTGAGTCACTGCATGCCTGTTGCACAAAAAAACTGTCCACTCCCTGCCTACCTGCCACACTCCCTGCTATACTCTCTCCCTAACTGCTACACTCCCTGCATGTCTGCTACACTCTGCCTTCCTGCTACACTTCCTGCATGCCCGCTACACTCCTTGCCTCTGTGCCTGCCTGCCTTGAATTCTATCATGTTTCTCACTTTCTTTACCAAAAGAATTTTACTAGGAACTTTCTTTGGGCCCATGATGGCTTATTTCGCAGTTGCACTCAATCAATAACCACAAAAAACAATGGATTATAGCGAAATGTTTGGATGAATATGCAGAGGCTTCCTCACTGACCCAGAGACACAACCAGACTGACTCACGAACATGGCGGAGCAGTGGGTGGACGTGTCCAATATAGCCGGTAACCGGGATAGAATTCCGGCCAAAAAAGCGAGCAAAAACCGAATTGGCCGATATCCGGAACGGCCGATAACCGAGGGTCCATTGTATATATTGACCTCAGTGAAGAGACCCTCTTCATCAGATCTGGGGAAGAGGGTCTGAATGAGGGCAAAATACACAGATCCATATTTTTGTCCAAGTGTTTTCTTACTCTGCACCAGTGTTAATGACACTTTAGTCCAACCATCCTCCCTCACTCTTACTTATTTTTCCTTCTGTCCATGATGTAATCCTTTATCCAGTTGAGTACCCTCACTGATATGTTCTGTTGTCCCAACCTGTAAATTAATTGCCTGTATATGCCCTAAGTCTGCCACTATTTTTCTTTTGTTTATGTCATATAAATAAAGTTTATTAGCAAAACATTTATACTTTGTTTCTTTGACAGTGTTAGTCTGTGGGAATAATAAGCTTCCCAAGTGGTTTACCAATGGTTTTCTTGCAAGCTTCTCCCACATTTTGTATTTTATTGTGTACATGTCATGAATTATGGTCTTCAGTTTAGGCGTGCCTGACTCTCCTCTTTATTGATTATTTTTTTGGAGATTTACAGTAATTTTTATTTGTGTGCATGTATATATTCTGTATGTGTATATATGTATATTTATTTTTCCAGTATCACCGATTCTTGTCAGAAAGAAAATCTGGGTATTATAGTGCAGTACAAGGTGAAAGTGAAGCTCATCCTTGGTCCACTTGTAGGGTAAGAATTAGAAACAGTGTATTGTATAACTCATACCTTGTTAATAATATATTGCAAGAATCCATATGAACTTGTAAACAATTATTTGAAATGTAATGGATGTTGACATGCAGCCCACCCCAAAAAAAATTGTTACAATCTATATCAAGTAATGTTATTACCAAAACTTGAATATTCTTGTGTGTCTAGCATATGTAATACACTACCATAAACTTTTGCACAGTAGATTTTTATACTATATACAGTACATAATTTTTGTCTAAATTTTCATATTCTGTAACATGGTGTAGTTCATCTAACTGGTCTTGATACTGTACATCAGATAAAATGTAATATACTGAGCACTTTGTCCTCTTAAGAGAAAATGGAGGGGATAAAGTGGGCAGTGATTCTTGAGAAAGAAATTGTTAATTTTTTCTTTCTAAAAGTCTTTTCTGAGAGTAATATACTTTAGTGACTTGTTGAGTGAATTCTTGTCTGGCCTTCATGAAACCAAATAAAATTTTTGTAGGATTCTTCACCAAAAGTGATCCACCCATATGTAGGAACACTCTGGACTTCACAATTTTTGTTAATACCCTATCCAAACTGCTTAATCTAATTCCTTCATCCTCTGATTTCTGAACATTTAGAATTTTTTTTTTTTCAATGAACTGGCCATATCCCACTGAGGAAGGTTGACCTAAAAAGAAAAATGAAATTTTTCTTGTCTTTAAATTTAGTAATTTTTACAGGAGAAGGGGTTACTAGCCCCCTTGCTCCTGGCATTTTAATTGCCCCTTATGACATGCATGGTTTACAGAGAAAGAATTCTTTTCATTTCCCCATAGAGAATTATTATTATTCTTCTTGAAATACTTGCAAAAAAAAGCATTAACTCATAAGCTCCGCAGATTTAGTAGCTTTGTGAAATTTGAATCAGTCACTTTTAGAGTGAACACTATACCTGACAGTAATGTCAGTTTTAAACTTAATGTTATGGTTGGTACAGCCACCATTCACAACAAATGCCCATGCCTTTGCTGTGGCTAACTCCCCCTTCCCTCCCTTGGGTACTCACTGTGCCATTTCATTGATATTGAAGTGTAATAACCCAAAATTGGAAAAATGTATACCAGAACTTACTTCTTGTAATATTGGATTTGAAAGCTTTTATATTTAATGTATATTTAATGTCCTAGAAATGGGAAGTACAATGCCTGCACTTTAAAGGAGGGGTTCGGGATATTGGCAGTTTGGAGGGATATGTTGTGTATCTTTATACATATATGCTTCTAAACTGTTGTATTCTGAGCACCTCTGCAAAAACAGTGATTATGTGTGAGTGAGGTGAAAGTGTTGAACGATGAGGAAAGTATTTTCTTTTTGGGGATTTCCTTTCTTTTTGGGTCACCCTGCCTCGGTGTGAGACGGCCGACGTGTTAAAAAAAAAAATTAATGCTTTAGTTCTTGTCTCCTTAACATTTAGGTAAATAATTTTTGGTAATGATTCATTCTCTATATCACTTTAATTTACATCTATATGTACTTACAGTGACCTAGTAGCAGAACTTCCATTTACGCTGATGCACCCAAAACCAGAGGAAGAACCGGAAAGCAATAAGACAACGGCACCAGCTACATCATCTCCAACGCAAGACTCTGAATCAACTCCACCAGTGGATGCAAATCTCATTGAGCTTGACACGTCAGTATAGTTAGCAGATTTGTTTACTACCTTTGCATAATTTTTTGCCAAAAGGATTTTAAATATCAAAATTACTATAAAAATGGTTATCCATACATAACATAAATATTACTTTGTCAAGGATATTTGGAAAGTCTCCGTGTTACTTTCAAGGAACTTTACAAAGTATTGATTAATAGGTTGAAGTGATTAACATCAGTACCATTATGATGGTTGTGGTACAGTTTCATATGCTGTCTTGCTTCAGCTATTACAGTACAGGACTGTAAGAAGAATTTTGTGTTGTGGTATTTTCAATTTGAACTGCATATAGTTATACAGTCCTAATGGGCAAAAATGACATGGACACTGCAAGAATTGCAGACATTAAAAGTTGAGGCATGTATTATTGCATACATACACTATATAAACATAAAAGCAGCGTATTATACAATGGTATCTTAGTTGATAAACATTTTTAAATTTTCTGGATGTTGCATATTGTTTCATATAGTTTTCTATTCAGTATGTACTATATCCTATGCTTTCATTTCAAAATGCTCTGTAATTTTAATATCTAGCAAGTTTGTTTGTTATAATTATTTAATTTTTAATTCATATGTTTAGCTTCTCTAGAATTTCCTATCTTTTTCATTTCACCTTTTGTCTGTTATTTTAGAGCTTACTGTTGCTATAATCATAAAATCCCTTAGTAACAAGAAAATGAGAGCATATACACTGAGTGATGCATCCTTGAAGTTTATCAACCTCTGGGTACTACAGGAGTGCCTCCAAAGGCACAGCAAGTTTGGAGCTAAGTCTTCCTGTAGGAGTTGATGGGTTCTTCAGGATCCAGTCATTGCTTGATCCTGTCAAGGCCAAGTTGGAGCAGCTGGTAGACAGACTTAGGGCTGGTAGTGCCAGAACTGAGAACACACACACTCCAGTTATAAAGAATCCTCATGCTCCTGGTAGCATGCCACATACAAGCATCCCTTCCAGGCCCAACATACCTGAAGCTGGTTGCATGATAGTAGATTTAATAAATCTAAATAAACAGGAAGATGATTTTATGTGGGTATTATATGAAACATTTAAATTTGCATGTATGTTAGAAAGTTTTTTTGCATGATATATTAACTTTGTTATGCACATGTATAAAAAACACTAATGGATATAGTTTGCTTGTCTGGTTTCCTGTGATACTACTGAGTGTGGAAGGTAGTACTGTAAGTAAAATGCCACTATACCTTTTTTTCCCCACTACATGATAGTGGAAACTGTATATCAGTGATGAGGATTGTGAAGGATTGTGCAAAATTTTCTCGTGTTCCAAACATTATATTGACATGTAATTGTTAAATTTCTTGAATTTCATTTAGTGGTCATCATCACACAAGACCAGAAGTAAGGTCAAGGCATTGTTATGAGAGGAGACAGCCAAACTCAGGTCAGGTCACCTGGTTTTTTGAAGCTTGTACAAGAATGGTATACAATACCAACAAGATGAAATTAAGACACATGTGCAACATCTGGGTATCTTTATTGTAGACATTTCACCATCCAGTGGCTTTATCAATACAAATTCCAGGACATAATGTGAAGACAGTAGAACTATATACAGAAGATGAGGTAATCAGTCCCTCAACCTTGGAGTTGGTGCGAAGAACACCATAGTCGTGGAGGTTCTGGAGCGCCAGGCTCCTTGCCTCTGCTCCAGAACCTCCACGACTACAGTGCTCTTCGCACCAACTCCAAGGCTGAGGAACTGATTACCTCATCTTCTGTATATAGTTCTACTGTCTTCACATTATGTCCTGGAATTTGTATTGATAAAGCCACTGGATGGTGAAACATCTACAATAAAGATATCCAGATGTTGCACGTGTCTTAATTTCTGAAGCTTAGAGCATTTTACAGTATACTGGGGGCTCAGATTCATGCTGAGAATGTTGTGCATATTGGATCAAAGTAGAATGACATGCAGAAGGAAGGAAGGTGGGGTAGGGGTCGTCCTTGAAAAGGTTGGAAGGAAGGGGTAAGGGAGGTTTTGTGGGCGAGGGGCTTGGACTTCCAGCAGGCGTGCATGAGCGTGTTCAATAGGAGTGAATGGAGACAAATGGTATTTGGGACTTGACGATCTGTTGGAGTGTGAGCAGGGCAATATTTAGTGAAGGGATTCAGGGAAACCGGTTATTTTTATATAGCTGGACTTGAGTCCTGGAAATGGGAAGTACAATGCCTGCACTCTAAAGGAGGGGTTCAGGATATTGGCAGTTTGGAGGGATATGTTGTGTATCTTTATACGTATATGCTTCTAAACTGTTGTGTTCTGAGCACCTCTGCCAAAAACAGTGATTATGTGTGAATGAAGTGTTGAATGATGATGAAAGTATTTTCTTTTTGGGGATTTTCTTTCTTTTTGGGTCACCCTGCCTCAGTGGGAGATGGCCGACTTGTTAAAAAAAAAATTTTGGCAGATTCAGTAAAATAGTACACAAATTACACGCACATAGAAGAGAGGAGCTTACTACGATGTTTCAGTCCGACTTAGACCATTTACAAAGTCACACTTTGTAAATGGTCCAAGTCAGACCGAAACGTCTTCGTAAGCTCCTCTCTTCTATGTGCGGGTTATTTGTGTATCGTTCCAATCACGGTATTGTGCCTTCTTTTGTTATCAATAAAATAGTATCTGTGAAGCCTCAAAATTGGAATATTTATATATTTTGCTTGTGTATACTGTTTATTATTTCTTTCATGAAAATCATACGTTAGAACTCCAGTGCTGTTGGAGTATGAGCAGGGTAGCATTTCTTAAGGGATTTGGAAAAACTGATTAGCAGGACTTGATTTCAGGAGGTATGTGCACTTGCGGCAAAACAGCAGTTGAATGAATGATGGCAAATAGGTTTCATCTTTCTGGGGGCCATCCTTCCTTGGTGTGAGATGATCTCTGTTAAAAAAATAAAAAATGCCATTTGGATATAAGATGTGGTGTTATACCTCTGTTATTACTTGTAGATAAATTTATATTGAATGCTACTACAGGGCAAGCCAAATAATAATACTGTAATATTATTTATTTTTATTCATTATATTTTTGAACTTGACTGCCTTCCGCCAAGGCAGTGTGATTCAAAGAAGAAAAAATTCACCAGCATTTACTCAGTTGCCATTTTCCAGAAGTGTGCTGACATCTAAATTCAAACTACCCTCTGACTACAACCCCCACCCATCCCTTAGAGTGCAGGCACTGCATTTCCCATCTCTAGAACTTAAATCTGGCTAACTTGTGGCCCTGAATTCTTTCATAAAGATTACTTTGCTCGCACTCCAACAGCATGTTCATTATTTATTATCATTATCGTAATAAATAGTCATAAAGTACCAAATTTGAATGGGTTATATAGTGGGCAAGCCAAATTGCCATATTATTGTCATTTCTAGGAATTTGAAGACATTAATTCTTTCATTGTATGACAAATTATTATTATTTCCTCCTAAGAATCTTAATATTACATCTGCTTAAAAGAGAATAAATTTAGTATTACCTGAAAACTGTGCACTAGATATCAAATTAACATACAGTATCACAGCACAGAATCTTCAGTATTTTATTTATTTTTAATAATTTAAAAATATAAAACATACATTATTAACCCTTTCAGCGTCGAGAGGCCCTCTCCTAAACTCGTTCTCAGGGTCGAAAATTTTTTGAAAAAAAAAAAAAAAAAAAAAAAATTTCTTATGAAATGATAGAGTATCTTTTCCCAATCATAATGACACCAAAAGTATGAAATTTGATGGAAAACTTAAGGAATTATGCTCTCGCAAAGTTAGCGGTCTCGACGATGTTTATGCATCGGCGATTTCGCCCACTTTGAGCCCTATTTTCGGCCAATTCCTGTGTACTAGTCGTCAAAAATTATTTATTTCGCTAGAACTCCATTTTTTTCTATTGAATGAGCACAAGAAACCACCCATTTACCAATTTCAACTATCCAATAAAATGGTTAGAAATTGGCAATTTTGCCAATTTCACACAAATTTCAGAAGATGCCAATTTCCAAATAGGGTCCAGAATTAACAAGACAGACATTCCTGGCACTAAAATAACGAGTTCTCTGCTCGTCAGTCACGTCCCCCAGACCCCTCTTACATTTCTTTTGCTTTCCACTTTGAATTTTTATTCTCACAAAAAATAAAAGATTTACTGTTATGCAGACTACTGCATTAGTGTAGAAATGGTATAAATAATATCAGCTCACTTAAGAACATAAGAACATAAGAACGAAGGAACACTGCAGAAGGCCTACTGGCCCAAGCGAGGCAGGTCCAAGTCTCCTACCGGCTTAAGCCAATGCACCCAACCTAGTCAGGTCAGGTCACATTGACTTAAGGGAGGAACACGGCAACCGACCTGGTAGCACAAGCTATGAGGTCCAACTCATACCCACCCACATCCACTCATGTATTTATCCAACCTATTTTTAAAGCTACACAACGTTCTGGCCTCTATAACTGTACTCGGGAGTTTGTTCCACTCATCCACAGCTCTATTACCAAACCGGTACTTTCCTATATCCTTCCTGAATTTGAATTTTTCCAACTTAAAACCATTGCTGCAAGTCCTGTCTAGGCTAGATATTTTCAGCACACTATTTACATCCCCTCTATTTATTCCTGTCTTCCATTTATACACCTCAATCATATCCCCCCTAATTCTACGTCTTTCTAGAGAGTGCAGATTCAGGGCCCTTAGTCTATCCTCATAGGGAAGGTTTCTGATACATGGGATCAACTTTGTCATCCTCCTTTGTACATTTTCCAGAGAATTTATATCCATTCTGTAATACGGTGACCAAAACTGTGCAGCATAATCTAAATGAGGCCTAACCAAGGATGTATAGAGTTGAAGAACAACCTGAGGACTCCTATTATTTATGCTTCTTGATATGAAGCCAAGGATTCTATTAGCTTTATTGCGAACACTTATGCACTGTTGTCTTGGTTTCAGATTACTGCTAACCAGAACTCCTAAATCTTTTTCGCAATCCGTAATATTAAGATCTACATTATTTAGTTTATATGTGGCATGGTTATTGTCCTGTCCAACATTTAGAACTTTGCATTTGTCTATATTAAACTGCATCTGCCACTTCTCCAACCACTGCATCAGTCTATTCAAATCTTCCTGGAGTGCTCGAATGTCCTCGTCAGAATGAATTCGACGGCCTATTTTGGTGTCATCGGCAAACTTGCCGATGTCGCTCTTTATGCCCTCATCTATGTCGTTTATGTAGATTGTGAACAGCAGGGGGCCCAACACTGACCCTTAGTCAGGTCATTCCAGTTCAGCCCACCTAAGTAATTTTTCAGTCCTATGAAATCAGCCAAGCGAAAGTCAGGGACGGAGACTTGATTGCCATTATTAGGGGAATTCCATGATATATTAAAACTGAGTGATTTGTGATCACTTTCCCCAAGTTCATCATTAACCTCAAGATTATTAATTAGTGTTTCCCTACTGGCAAGAACCAAGTCAAGGTTATTTCCCCTAGTTGGCTCTGTCACAAACTGTTTTAAAAAACAATCCTGGATCATATCAAGAAAGTCACCTGACTCTAAATTTCCTGTCAAATTGCTCCAGTCAATCTGTCTATAGTTGAAATCTCCCATTAGCACAACATTTTCGTATGTAGATGCCTTACGAATTTCGTCCCATAGAAGTTTACTGCACTCCCTATCAAGATTTGGGGCCCTGTAAATCACACCCAAAATTAGTTTTTCTCGGCCCTCGAGAAGCTGTAACCAGACAGATTCAGTGGCTGGCGCTTCTAATTTAATACCTTGTCTAACACAACAATTTAAATTGTCTCTGACATACATCGCTACTCCACCACCTTTCCTGTTGACCCTGTCAGTGTGGAATAATTTATAGCCTTGTATGTGACATTCAGAAGGCATCTCTCTATCTTTCAGATTGAGCCAGGTCTCTGTTATAGCAATAATATCTATGTTTCCTGCACTTGCAATTAATCTTAGCTCATCTATCTTATTTCTTACACTCC